TGATTATTTTTATTTAGTCCAGAATTCGTTACTTCTTTTTGAGGACGCCCAGAGCTGGACTCTATTTGCGGCCCATTAGAGTCCCTAAGCGACCCTCTCTGCTTAACGCAATTATGTTTTGACGTTGATTCTTTGTACCGATTTAATGCGTCGCATTGATTTTGATTTTAAACCGGAAGCCTGCAATTACAGGCCAACTAAAATGCTCGTGTTTTGCAGGAAACATGCCAAAGAACCCTTTGTTGGGATTTACAACATAACGACGCCCATTCTCGTCGTGAAAGAGCCAGAGCTCATCAACGAGGTATTGGTGAAAAATTTTAAAAGTTTCGCCAACAATGAAACTGTCATTCCGGAAGGTGCCGATAGAGCTTTCGGCTACAACCCGTTCTTCGCTGCGTCTCACAGGTTTGAATAGCAATGTTTCTTATTATTTCTCTTCCCTACTCCTTAGTTTTGGAAGGTGTCAAATTCTACACAGAAAAAAATTACAATCGGTGCCAAGCTAATCGATTTAGCACGCAAACCGGTTCAAGAAATTGGCCGTTAGGATGTCTCTTTCGGAGGCATCACCCAGACTTCACCGAGGCTATAGCAAGCCACGACTGAACCTGTGCTGGGGCAACTCAGAGACACTTAAAATAGCTGTGCGGCGAGTATCTGCCGCCGCAAAGACTCACTTACCCCTCAGCTGAAGCTAGTGGCCCTAGTCGAATCCGATCCGGGTTCCATCTTGAGCGCAGCCGAGGCACGGGTTGACGCGGTGGCGGCACACTGTTTCTGCGCTGCAACCGTTGCCCCCCCCCCCCTTTCCGCTTCCCAGCCAGCCCATCGTGCGGGGAGGGGGCAGCGGTGCCCAAACTTACAAACCCACGCCAGGTGCCCACTCTGCGCTGCTGATCGCGGGGAGGAGTGGAGAGGGGAGGGGGGATTTTCCCTTCTGGTCGAGACAGTCTCTTCGGGATTGTTGACTGTTTAAAAATTTGTTAGGGCGCTATATTTGTAATTTGTGGTGCATTTCACAAAAAGTGCGTGATCTCAGAACAGGAAAAAAAATGAATTTTTTACCTCGAACTCGGAGGGGGACACGGCGGCGGCGGCGGCGGCGGCGGCGGCGGCGGCGGCGGCGGCGGCGGCGGCGGCGGGAAATAAGATCGGCTGATCCGGGAGAGGACAGGTGCAGTATGATCTCATCGCGGAGGTGACCGGGAGGGGACAGGCCATCC